GTCCACAGGTCATAAAGTTGCCATAGTTACCAGTCCCTGCTCCATTTTTTTTTTTTTTTGGTCCGTTTGAAGAATTGGTGGGCACGTCAATATCTTTTTATTTTGAGAATGAATCTGCAGGCAGTCCTCAAATTATGGAGCCTGCCCATTACCATTGTAAGTCATAATGGTCAGAAAATAGGCTGGCTGCATGACTGACCTGAATTCATGACCATTTTTTTTTTTTTTGCAGCAAACGTGGTAGTTAAATGAACCCATTGTTTGCTATGGCAGTTTTTTTTGCAGAAAATTGCAGTAAGTGTTGGTTTTTGGCAAAGCTGTTGTAACATGGAGTCACGTGACTGTGGGATGCTGCAAACAGCTATAAATGGGGCTGTGTTGCTGAACCCAAAGTGTGATGACGTGAGCACAGGGAGGGGTGACTGTCAGAACTTTGAATCTGAATAAGCCCCCCTTTTCAGGTCGGTTGTGACTTTGAACTTGGTTATAAATTGAGGACTCCCTATAATAAATATTCATACACGGCAGCCATGTTTGTTTTATCTATGGTCTGTTGGAAAATGCCTGTGGCATTTGATTCTAAAGGTTATTTACTATCGTAGCTGTTCTGTCTCACTTGTAGCCACAAAGTGAGAGTCTAAATGTCCCAAAGAAATAGACATGAACAAATAATATCACAAACCACAGTTAATTTTCTCTGTAATCGTCGTTGGCAGCTTTCCCAGAAACTGTCTTCAAGCCAAGATAACGAGCTGCAAGATAATTCAGAAACAGGAGACTTCTTCCAAGCTGTGAAGTAACTAACGAAGTTTGATCCGGACAAGGATCGTTAGCTAACACGCCTCCTTATATTCCTTGAAGGGGCGTGTCAGTCTCTCTAATTAGTCTCTGACTTGACGTTTCTTTTAAAATTGTGCTTGACGTCTCAACCTGCGTCTAGTTCTTGCATCAACCCAACATTCGTCATTTTGGTCATCACTCAAGGACTCTGGTATATTCTGTGGATCAGCTGCTGACACCTGAGGCATGATAGATGTGGAAGGTTCTGGAGAGGATGGCGATTCCGACACTCCCTCATCATCCTGGCTCACGCCTGCATCTCTCATCAAAGCAGGCTCCAACTCCAATGCCAAACCTTCCTCATCACTCGAACCTGTGTCTTCTGATACATCAGACTCAAAGCTCACAGCAGGCTCAAACCTTCCAGTCACAACACATAGCAATGAAGTCCACACATATTTCTAAGCTAAAATAAAACAAATACTGTTATGACTTCTTGTGGCCTTTGATTAAAGGTTTGCTATAGCGGTATATGACGGTGCTAAATTAAAGGTTTGCTATAGAGGTATATGACGGTGTTAAATTGTATGGGTTTGTCATAAACGCATTTATGACGAAAGTAAACAATAGATAGATTCTGTAAAAATTCACCTCTCCTGCTTTTCTCCTAAGGCTGTGGAATCTGGATCTTTGAAGCTCATGCCCCAATTTTATGAGAAAAACTGGAGGACTTGGCTCTTGAACATCAAGTAAGATGAGGGAGATCTCCCATGAATGGTTTGCAATTTCTTTTTATTATCCCCTGCTTGGCTGCGTAGGGTTCATGTTTTTGAAGATTGGCTCAGCATTGTAACTTCCGTGTCCGTTGTAGGTGAAAAATGTTCTTTATTAAATAGTTCATTGGCTTAATTTATTCTGTGTTTGGGTCACCCCTGTTCAGTCTTATTGGTGGTAGCATTGCATGGTCTCCTGAGCTGAGCTTTTGCAGATGTTTAGAGATTGCAACTCCAAGGAAATTATACAAAAGAATTATCTTAAGTTTAGGGAAGATCAAGCTAGATGGTCTAACACAGTGGTCGCCAACCAGTGGGCCGGGGACCACTGATGGTCCGTGAGAAAATTTTGGTGGTCCGCAGAGAAATGTTACCCCCAGACCACCTCCCAAAGCAATTTATCCAAGCTGCATGGGAACACAAGGCTTGCGTCGCTTGTATTGCAAACAACGTGAGGTAGTAAGGGGAGGGGGGAAAGGGTGGAGCGGGGGGAACTTGCCCCATTCGCCCCCCACGCACCTCGCCTGGCAACTGAGCTGCTTCTTTCCACTTCTTTCTTCTTCTACTTTTGGCTGCATGCAAGGAAACCAGCAAATGTTTTTCTTTCTCTCCCCCAAACGCCGCCAGAAATGAGTCTTTGGGACCCTGCAAGGCATCCTGCTCCAAGAAGCTGTGCCAGCAAAGGCTCATTTATGGTGGAGTTTGGGGGAGAGAAAGACTTCTGCTGCTTTCCTTGCATGAAGCCAAAAGTCTTTCCCCCCCCATCCCGAGAATGGAGCTGGAGACGGTATCCTGCGATCCCAAATAAAGAATGATCGATCGGTAGGAAAACGGGGTGGGGAATTTTCCTGCAGGCTTTTGGGGGGATTTTCCCAGGGTCTCTAGTCCGCGAGATTTAAAATTATGAGTTTGGTGATCCCTGAGGTCCAAAAGGTTGGCGACCCCTGGTCTAACATGATGCAGCAGAGTTTCTTATCTTGTCAAACTCCACATGCTGTCTTTCTGGTGTCCTTGCTAAGTGACTGGTGTATTTCTCGACAACTGTGGTGGGGTCATCAGATTCCAGCCTACCGGGTCATGATTCCTGGGTCACCTGAGCTAGAAGAGGTAAGCATCAACCTTTCTAACTGTAGGAACTATAAATGAATGCTTTTGGGTAGGAGGGAGGGGGAGATGTCTGCTTCTCTGAGCCACCACGCAACTTATATTCCTTTGTGTATGCATTTCAGCAGAAGGAGAGCGATGGGTTATGGGTAGCGGGCAGGACGGAAGCAGAAGCTCGGACGAAAGCAGCTGCCCTGCTGGGAAAATCTGAACAGCAGCTGGAGCTGGTGAGAGGTAAAGCAACAATATAGGAGCTTATAGGTAGTCCTTGACTTACAACAGTTTGTTTAGTGATCGTGCAAAGTTAACAACAGCACTGAAAAAAGTGACTTATGACCATTTTTCACACTTATGACCGTTGCAGCATCCCTGTGCTCACATGATCAAAATTTTGGATGCTTGGCAACTGGTTCATATTTATTAAAGTTTCAGCAATACCCAGGGTCATGTGATCATCTTCTGTCAAGCAAAGGCAATGGGGATGCTAGATTCATTCAACCACTGTGTTACTAGCTTAACTGCAGTGATTCTAGAAAAAGGCCTGGAGACTAAAACACATGAAGAACAGTTCACAAGAAGAGCGAAGAGAAAAACACAAGAGCAACCAGTATGATTAGGGGACTGGAGGCTAAAACATACAACGAACGGTTGCAGGAACTGGGTTTGGCTAGTCTAGTAAAGAGAAGGACCAGGGGAGACATGATAGCGGTCTTCCAATATTTGAAGGTCTGCTACAGGGAGGAAGGGGTCAAGCTATTTTCTAAAGCCCCTGAAGGCCAGACAAGGAATAATGGAGGGAAACTGAACAAGGAGAGATTTAACCTGGAAACAAGGAGAAACTTTGTGACAGTGAGAACAATCAACCAATGGAACAACTTGCCCTCGGAAGTTGTGGGAGCTTCATCACTTGAGACTTTCAAGAAGAGATTGGACTGCCATTTGTCAGAAATGGTGTAGGGTCTCCCGCTTGGGGGTGGGGTTGGCCTAGATGACCTACAAGGTCCCTTCCAACTCTGATTATCTGTATCTGTATCAGTTGCAGGATTTGGGTTTGACTAGTCTAGAGAAAAGAACAACTGGGGGGATATGATAGCGGTATTCCAGTATTTGAGAGACTGCCACAAAGAAGAGGGGGTCAACTTATTTCCCAAAGCACCAGAAGGCAAGACAAGAAACAAGGGGTGGAAATTAATCAAGGAGGGAAGCAACCTGGAATTGAGCAGAAACTTTCTAACAGTGAGGACAATTAAGCAGTGGAACAGTTTTGCCTTCAGAAGTTGTGGGTGCTTGATCACTGGAGGTTTTTAAGAAGATACTGAACAGTTAGTTGTCTGAAATGGTATAGGATCTGGTTGAGCAGGGAGCTATTCTATTCTATTCTATTCTATTCTATTCTATTCTATTCTATTCT